TTGCATTCCAAGAATCTTCTTCGCTGGACCTAAGTCCTTCATGTCAAATTCTTTTGCCAACTGCATCTTCAAATTTCTGATGTCTATCATATTTGATCCTGCTACTAACATGTCATCGACATAAAGTAGCAATATGATATAGCTGGACTCATATTCCTTGAAGAAACAACAGTGATCAGCATTGCACTTCTGGAAACCTTCCTTGTGCATGAAGCTCTCAAACTTCCTATACCACTGTCTTGGAGCTTGTTTCAGGCCGTACAAGCTCTTCTTCAATTTGCACACCATATCCTTATTTTCGTCTGAAAAACCTTCAGGCTGGTGCATATAGATCTCCTCATCTAGGTCTCCGTGAAGAAATGCAGTCTTCACGTCTAACTGCTCTAGATAGAGCTCTTCACTAGCCACAATACTTAACACAGTCCTGATAGTATTGAGCTTTACAACTGGAGCAAAGATTTCAGTATAGTCAACTCCTTCTTTCTGCTGAAATCCTTTGACAACCAGTCGGGCTTTGTATCTCCTGGAACCATCATGGTCTTCCTTCACCCGATACACCCATTTGTTGTGAAGTGCTTTCTTTCCTCTGGGTAACTTGACTAGTTCCCATGTCTGATTTGAGATCAAGGACTTCATCTCGTCCTTCATGGCAAGCTCCCACTTGCTAGCATCCGGGGTTTGACAAGCCTCCTTATAATCTTCAGGTTCTCCTTCATCGGTCAACAGCATGTAGTCCATGTATCTCCTGTTAGGTACATGGGGCCGAGAGGACCTTCTCAATACAGGAGTTGGATTAGAGGGTTCTGATTGCTCACCGCTTTCTTTATTTGATTCCTCTGACCGGGGATTCCTTATTATAGGAATGTCTGGAATATCTTCCACCTCCGCATAAACTGGCCCACTCGCTTCTGAGTTGCTGGCACTTGTGTTATGCCGGTCCTTGTACATCACTCTTTCATTAAAGATGACATCTCTGCTGCGGATCATTTTTTTGGTTTCATCATCCCATAAACGATAGCCAAACTCATCTTCACCATAGCCAAGGAAAGTACATTTCTTTGATTTTGGATCAAGTTTGTTTCTGCCTTGATCACTGATGTGCACATATGCTACACACCCGAAAACTCTAAGATGTGAGAGTTCTACTTCTTTTCCGCTCCATACCTCTTCTGGTAACTTGTGATCCAATGGTA